GGGTCAGGGGTCCCCCCTCTTCTCCCCTCGCCTCGCCCCCCCTCCTGGACGCACTGGCGCGTTGTCGTTTTCGATGCGGTGCCCCCAGAAGGTTTGACCCTTTTTCCAGACAGGGCTGGCTTCCTCATCCCGAGCAGTTCTGGGCAGATGTGTGTATATAGATGTAGCAGCATGTATTCGTATACCTACCTTTGTATATGTTATATAGATATATGTGTATATGCAAAAGATGATTAGATGTGAAAGTATATGTATATATGTATATCTAGATACGCGAATGTATATGTAGTAAGTCAAAACGGTGGATTGCCGGGCTGGTCCGCGGGTCAAGCTCTCACCCGCGCACCTTTCGGGGCGCGCGGTGAAGAGAACCTCGAAGGGAATCTGGCCGCGGCCGCGCGGGGCTTTGCGGAGGTCCGATGACAGGGTGGGCGGCGCCCGAAAGCATGCCGATGTTCCAACGCATGTCGCGCCCGATCCTCGATGTGTGGGGAAGGAACCCTCCAGCCCAGACATCCGACTTTTGATTTTTATTTTGTCCCGCAGCGCAGCGCCCGCGAGGTCCGTTCGCTTTCCAAGGGGCCCCCTTTTCATCCTGAATTGTTTTTGGACGTCCCGAAAGCCAAGTAAAAAAGGCTCTTGGGTGCCAAAGACACTCGACCCCCGCCCGTCGTGTTTTCTTCGCCGCGCGAGGCTATCTGGGTCCTCCGCCGACATCCGGCGATCCGATGATCCCTTGGGCCCCAAGGGGCTGAATCGCGGAAAGAACACCGGCTGGAAACAAACAGTATCGTGGGATACGTGCATAGGCAGGCCTTGGTTGGCCGCAGGAGCCTCCGGGGACGCCCCACGCAGCGGCGCCGCCTGCAAGGGTTTTGGCGCGAGGGGGCTGGGTTTAAAAAATGCGGCGGGGGCTTCTAAAGAAGTGGGTGGGCCTCTTGAAAGCCCGCCCAGCTTTTAAGCGAAACCTTCTCACAAGCTGGGCCCTCTGAGAAGGCCCCTGCCTACCGAAAAGCCCCTCCGCCTTCGTAGTTGGCCGCCCCATTCGCGCACCCCTCAATGGTCATGAAAACGTGAGACTCCCAAATCGCCGGAGCCCGAGTTTGTCCACGTTTTTCCACAGGCCCGTCTTGCACTTCAATGGCCCAGTTCACCCTGGGATGTTTGCAGCGGGAGTTCGCGTCAGATCTCGGACTGGGTCCTGTTATTTGACTGACGGCCTCGTCAGGCCAACCCGGGTCCCTCGCACCCGGGTCTTGCGCCACCCCTTTTTATGGGCGCCGCCCACAGGAGCCTCCGGGGGCGCCGCGGGCAGCGGCACGGCCTACAAGGCCGCGGACGTCTGGCAGATGCTGGTGGTGCACCGGGAGCCCGATCTGCCCGGCGTCTGCGCCGGCCCGGGCGGCGCCCTGGAGCTTCGGGGCGCACGCACAGGGTGGCCTCCAAACGGTGTGGTGACCTGCGCCGCGTGGTGAGCCACCGGGGATTATGTGTTTTTTTTCCAACGTTGTTGTCGATGCCTGCGGGTTTTTCTGCCTCGGGGTGCGTTGCAGCAGCTGCGCTTCGCCGAGAGCGATCCAGGGGTGCCCAGATCGTCCCGAACGGCCGCCAGATGCCCGAGGTATCCCCGAAGCCAAACATTCGGAGAAGGGCCAGGCTGGTGAGGCAGTAGGGATTCGGAATCGCCGCGCGGTTTTGGGATTCGGGTCGCTCTCCGAAAACGGATCGGGTGACCGGGGCCTCCGAGGTCCCGAGGCCGTGCGGTGGCGGACCGCGCGGTGAGGTCATTGGGGCCCCCGAGTGCAAACGGTGGCTTCCCAAATGGGGTCCGAGTAGACGGGGTGTGAGGATCGCGCCGCATCGCCGAGATGCACGGGCGATGCGGCTCGGTGTGGGGGGCGATTTTTTCCACGCGGACGACGCCGATACATTTCCAGCGTCGCGGATGCATCCCGAGTGCATCACCGATGTATCGACGCGCTGCGATCTCCCTACCCCGCGGACCAATTTTGGAAGGCCTCGAATGGTCTCTTTTCCAGATCGCCGACGATGTGTCTGCTTCACTGCTGGCGTTGTTCGTCGATTTCGGCCCCCCAGATCTCCGACGGTATGACTTTTTCTCCGAGGCCCGCTGCCGTGCTCCAGGGCCATCAAACAGTTATCCTGGGCGAAGAAACCTTGTTCCAAGGAATCGGTCGGGACCCGGCGGGGCCGAGCAACAACAAAATACAACATCGGATGTCTGGGTCTAGGGCCAAATTGATATGGCACTTTGTTTTAGACCCCCATTCCGCCGCCTTTTCAGACAGCGCTAGGCCAGAAGGTCTTGCAGTTAGTCCCGAGTTGCGTGGAGTCCAGATATTATTGTGAACTTCGCCACGCTCCCCCCCCGCATCTCTCCATGCAAGCAATTTCCCTGGACTGAGAAAAGGAACATATTCTTCGTGTCGCCCCATCAGACCAACCAGAATCGGTGCCCAGGCGAATTGCCCTGATCAGGCATTTGGGAAGGCATCCGAAGGAAGGCTGTGAAGCAGTCGCGCCCAAAAAGGGGGAGGATGGAGGAGGAACCAGAGGAAGTGGAGGAGACGGCGGTGGAGGGGGAGGAGGAGGAGGAGGAGGAGGAGGAGGAGGAGGAGGAGGAGGAGGAGGAGGAGGAGGAGGAGGAGGAGGAGGAGGAGAGGAGGGAGGAGGAGGGGGAGAGGAGGGAGGAGGGGAGGGAGGAGGAGGAGGAGGAGGTCAGGGGAACGAGGGAGGAGGGAGGAGGGAGGAGGGCGGAGGAGGATGAAGAGGACGAGGAGGAGGAGGAGGAAGGAGGAGGAGGAGGAGGTGGAGGAGGTGGAGGAGGAGAAGGAGGAGGAAGATGAGGAGTAGGAAGAGGAGAAGGAGGGGGTGAGCAGGACGGCCAGAGGCCTCTTGGATGCTTTTCGGAGTCCCATGTCTCTCGGGAGGTTTTGTAGGCCTGTTGAGGCCTGTTGAGGCGTCTCGGGGGCCTCTTGACGGTCCGGGGGGCCTCTTGGAGCGTCTTGGATGCCTCGGGAGAGCTTCTTGGGGCCTCTCGGGGGTCTCTTGGGATCCTCTCGGGAGGCATCATCGGGGGCATCTTGGGGGCCTCTTGTGGCCTCCTGGGCGCACCTTTGGGTCCTCTTGGGGCACTCTTGGGAGCGTCGGGGGCCATCCTGGGGCCATCTTGGAGGAGCTCGGTCAAGGCAGGGGGCTTGCTTAATTAGCGCGCCCCCCCAAGGAGACCAAAATGGGTCCGAAACCTTGGTGAAGTCAATGGTTTTTGGCCTTCTCGCCGAGGCCATCTTGGACGCTTCGTCCGCCGCCTCGCGAGCCCCCATCCTCCAGACCCAGGGGGGGGGAGGGGGAGGGGTAAACCCTTCCCCGAAGGGGAAGAAGAAGGGGGATTGGACGAGGAAGCCCGCTGAACCACTCCTCCTCCTCCTCCTCCTCCTCCTCCTCCTCCTCCTCCTCCTCCTCCTCCTCCTCCTCCTTTTTTTCCTCCTCCTGCTCCTTCTCCTCCTCCTCCTCCTTCTCCTGCTTCTCCTCCTCGTCCTTCTCCTCCTCCTCCTCCTCCTCCTCCTCCTCCTCCTCGTCCTCCCCCTTCTCCTTCCACGCCCTAAAGGGCTGATGGGATTTCTAGGGCCCGTTGGCGGGCCACGGAGCCAAACAAAACGGCTGTCCAGGACGACGGATTGCCCCCCTGGGAAGTGGTCGGCTCTGGGCTTCCGGGTTTACCCCTCCTCCTCCTCCTCCTCCTCCTCCTCCTCCTCCTCCTCCTCCTTTTCCTCCTTCTCCTCCTTCCCTCATCCTCCTCATCCTTGTCACATGGTCGAGCGTCTTGGTTTCCCAGGCCCCCACCATCTTGAAACACAACGCGGTGGTTTCATGCCGTGTTCGGCACTTGGGGGCCCTCTCCGTTGCGAACGTGGTATGGGCATTCGGTGTGCATCGTTGTTGTGCGCAGCCGCTGTTGTCCATCACTGTTCTGCACAGGCGCTGTTGTGCGCATAGTTCTGCGATGTGGGCAGGCGCAGTGGTGCGCACGAGAGCTTTGGTGCACACAAGCACTGTGGTGTACATTGACGTTGTGGTCCGCACGTTTGCTGTGATTTGCACAGGCGCCGTGGTGTACAAAAACAGCTTGGTGCACGCAGGCATTGTGGTGTGCACAGGCGCTGTTGCGGACTCGGCTGCTGCGGTGTACAGAGAGGCACGCTGGTGTGCACACGCGACGTGGTGGTATGGTGCACGAGGCTGTTACGGTGTACAAAGGCAACGTGTTGTACACAGGCGTTGCGTTGCACGCAGGTGTTGTCGTGTACTCAGGCATTTTGGTGCACACAGAGGATTGATGTGCCAGTCTGCGGGCGCGCATTGGGGGGTGTACGCCGCGGCCGCCGTTACCGTCCCCCCCCTCGCCGCCCACCCCCTCCGTAGCACGCGTTACCCCCAATGGATAAGAAAAACAAGATGTAAGCATTCGAGTTGGGATCAATCTCGGTCCAGTTCCGCTGTCTTTGCGAACATCCGTTCGATTTTGTTGACAGTGCGCGCACGAAGAAAAAAACGCGGGAAAGGGAGACGGAGGGGCGAGCAACACAAAACAACGTAGCCAAGTTCAGCATAGAGCAAAGCCCATTCCAATAGAAAACATGCGCAAGCTTCCACGAGGCTGTCACATGGTTCCTATTGAATGTTCCAGAATTTGTTGTTCCGTGTGCTGGCGCAGGGAAAACCCGCCGGAGAAAGCAGGAACGATTCGGGGGTTTTGCAGCAAACCCTGTGCGGGGTGCCTCGGGGACGAACGGGAACGACTTAACAGGACCGACTGCAGGAGGAAGAGTCTGCCCCGGGGCCAGCGTCGAAACTTTTGGCCACGATTTTTGGACAGATGGGGAGATTGGATCCCTTGGCATCGCGCCACACCGGAGGATATATTAAGCAAGCATGGCCGCGAGGATTGCTGAAGTGAAAACAAAAAAACGATCTCTTGACATCCCAGAGGGACCTTCCCTGGGGCGGCCCTCGATGGGGCGCACAGGGCCGCCACCGTCGCACCGCACGCAAGGGTTGGCAGGCTGCGCCCCTCCCTAGGATCGTTCTGCCCATGCAGGCCTCATCCTCCTCCTCCTCCTCCTCCTCCTCCTCCTCCTCCTCCTCCTCCTCCTCCTCCTCCTCGGGGTGAGCATTCTTGCGCCAGGTCGCTCGCCCGCCGGTTCTCAGAGGTTCCTGATTTTTCCCCGCATCTGGGCTGGGCCCTCGTCCTGCTCTCGTCTTCCTCCTGCTCGGGGCCATCCGAGGAGAAGCAGGGGTCACCGCCACCGAGAGCCCATCTGGGGGGGTAGCCGACCCCCCTTGGCGGTGGCACGCCCGAGCGCCACGCAGTACAGGAGGGCGCTCAGGCGTGCCACTGCCGTAGGGTTGTGGGCCTAGCTTCATGATGCTCCAACCTACTTTTGCCTTGACCACCAGAAATAATTTCGAGCGCCCAAAAAACTACCGAAACTCAAGGGTTTTCACGTGTCGGGCCCTGGGAGTCACTCGCCCGACACTGTTTCGACACGGTTTCGACACTCTTTTGACACTTTTCTGGGTGCTCGAAATTATTTCTGGGATGTGGTCCTTAAGAAGGATGGGAACAACATGAGCCTAGCTGCACTGATGCGCCATTGTTGAAACGCAACACGTACCGTGTTCAAAAGGCACGTGCTTGTACGTTGCGTGTTGAATCGGCACGCGTTGGCCCACGTTTTGGCGAACGTCTCGCGCCGGACGTGTTGAGCACCTTGTCAACACGCTGCGGGTTGCGTGTTGCGTATCGTGGCGGCCAAGGTTGTCGGTGGCGGTGGTCCTTGCCTCTCCTCTGAGGCCACTCTTTACCGGCTTGAAGCATGTCCCTATGCCTACAGCACCTTACCTCGGTGCCGATCTTAAGGATCATCCCTAAGACTGTCATCGCCTTGGGCTTGCCGATCGTAGGGGGAAGGACAGGTCTGCGGCCGGTTAACTCCTGCGTGCCGCCGAGGAGTGGCCGTCTGGCCTCACGCCGCCCACGCGGCGCATCCGCGCGCGCAAGTTCCGCCGGCGGCCACCGGCGGGCTCCGAGTTTGCGCCGGCGCGGATCGCGGAGGCCTGGCGCCGTGGAGGGGAGGGGCCTTTGGTCCCTAAGTATTTCGCGACTCTTCTCCAGTCGCCGTGCAGGGTTGCCAGTACAGCGGGCGCCTAAAATCAGGAGTCGGCTTGCCAGCAGGTGCTCCAGGGAGATGTCTTATCCCCCGATGGGCCCAGGGACCCAGGGATGAGCTCTGGGGCACTTCAGACGTTAGGTCCGTCAAAGATCTACGAATGACCTTCCCCACTGATTTCCCGAAGGAGGATTTCTCATCGTGTCGTGCAGCATACTGAAAGTCTGTGCAACCCAACACGGCATACTACAAACTTGTCCGTCATCGGGGACGCCTGCCCCAGGGCGGCTTGAAACGATGTATCCCGACGCGGTTTAGGCTGTCCAGCCGCCCTGGGACAGGCGCCCTCGATTGCGGACAAGTGTATGTAGTGCAGTCTTTCCGTTGACATTCGACGACGGTTCTAAGATGTTGAGACAAATTCGGAGAGCCGTGGACGTTCCTTCGCGAGTCGAGGGGCAGCAGGCGTCGTAAAGCCCTCAGCGACTCCTCGAAACGGGTCCCGAGTTTTTTGTTGTCGTTGTCGGGCTCCTGGGCCCTCCACGGCCCCACCACTATTCAGAAACGGTGTCCCTCCTCCTCCTACTCCTCCTCGTCATCATCATCTCCTCCTCCTCCTCCTCCTCCTCCTCATCCCTCCTCCTCCTCCTCCTCCTCCTCCTCCTCCTCCTCCCTCCTCCTCCCTCCTGCTCCTCCTCCTCCTCCCTCCTGCTCCTCCTCCTCCTCCTCCTCCTCCTCCTCCTCCTCCTCCTCCTCCTCCTCCTCCCCCTCCTGCGGGATGGCTCCCGGGGGTCCAGGACCCGCGTCCCTCCTTGGATCCGCCTGCTGCACGCCAAGAGAGGCCGTGGCCGCCCTCAAGGAGCGCATGGCGAACGCGCCGTACTCCTACGAGGTGCTGGAGGAGGTGGACGAGGCGAGGCTCGAACGCCGCCGCCAGCGCCTGTGGCGGCAGGGGCCCTCCCCTCCCCTCCCTCCTTCCCTCCCTCCCTCCCTCCCTCCCTCCCTCCCTCCTCCTCTCCTCCTCCTCCTCCTCCTCCTCCTCCTCCTCCTCCTCCTCCTCCTCCTCCTCGGGCAGCAGGGGGCATCGGATCGGCGGGACGGATCGAGGTCGAGGTCCAATCGAGCCTGTTCGGGTGCTGCTACAGTCGGGGCTTTGACCTAAGGAACCCTAAATAAGGAACGAGGCCCCTTTTTCCCATCAGTTAAGCTTCGATTTCCCATCGAGAAATAAAAGGAACACCTGAGGCAAGCCGTGAAACACTTAAGGAACGAGGAGCCCCTCCCCAACCAAAAGGGTTCCTTCTTCAGGGCCCCGACTGTACGGGGGGGCGGGCGCGGGTCGCACCGCAAAGAGGGGGGGCTGAAGCCGGAGGGGCACGCGTGAGAGATCTGCTGCATGCGATGCGGCTGGTCCCAGTGCCGCCGCCAGGCCTCTGCCTCGAACTGTGGGGAAGAGCGTGTTCTACCGCTGCTGGCGGAAAACCGGGGGGGTCACTGGGGGTTCCTAACCCGTCCCCCCTCCCCCCCTTCGAAAAATGGGGGTGGTCCCTACGGGTTCGAACCCCCCTCCCCCCCCCGTCCATCATGAAAAGGGGGGGGTCACTACGTACCGGTTCGACCCCCCCCCCCCACCCCACCCTCGCCGCCGGCAAACAATTCCCGCTCCTCGGGACTCTGGGACAGTGGTGGGGACACTGGGACAGTGGTGAGGACTGTGGTGGTGGGGACAGTGTTGTGGGGACAGTGGGCAGTGGTGGGGACAGTGGGACAGTGGTGGGGACAGTGGTGGTGGGGACAGTGGTGAGGGGACAGTGGGACAGTGGTGCGGACAGTGACACAGCGGTGGGGACGGTAGTGATGGGGACAGTGGTGAAGGCGGTGGTGAGGACGGTGGTGGGACAGTGGTACAGTGGGGAGAGTGGTGGGGACAGTGGGGACAGTGAGACAGCGGTGGGGACAGTGGGGACAGTGGGACAGCACAGAGGGACAGCGGCGGGGACAGTGGGGACAGTGGGACAGTGGTTGGAACAGTGGGGACAGTGGGACAGTGGTGGGGACAATGGGGAGAGTGGGACCGTGGTGGGAAAATGGTGGGGAAAGTGGGGACAGTGGGACAGTGGTATGGACGCTGATGGGGATAGCAGGGACAATGGTGAGAACACTGGGGACACTGGGACAATGGTGGGGACAGTGGGACAGTGGTGGGGACGGTGGTGGTGGGGACAGTGGTGAGGGGACAGTGGGACAGTGGTGGGGATAGTGGGGACACTGGGACAGTGGTGAGGTTGGTGGTGGTGGGGACAGTGGTGAAGGCGGTGGTGAGGACGGTGGTGGGACAATGGGACTCAGGTACACTGGGGACAGTGGTGGAGACAGTGGGGACAGTGGGGACAGTGGTGGGAACAGTGGGACAGCTCAGTGGGACAGCGGCGGGGACAGTGGGACAGTGGGACAGTGGGACAGTTGGGACAGTGGGGACAGTGGTGGGGGCCGTGGGGGAAGTGGGGAGAGTGGGACCTTGGTGGGAACAGTGGTGGGGTCAGTGGGGACAGTGCGACAGTGGTGGAGGTACTGGTGGAGAAAGTGGGGACGGTGGTGGTGGGGACGTGGTGGGGGGAAGGTGGTGCTGAGGACAGCAGTGGGAGATGTGGTGCGGACGGTGGTGGGGACCTGGGAGTCGTTTGCTGGCGGTGAGGGGGGGGGGTTCGAGCCGGTGGTGACCCCTCCCGGTTTTCTGAAGGGGGCGAGGGGGGTGTTCGAACCTGTAGTGACCCCCCCCCCCCGGTTTTCTGGAGGGGGGGAGGGGTTAGGGGGGGAGGCTTTTGCCGGGGGGAAGGGGAGGGGCTCCAGCAGGGGGGGGATTTTCGAAGGGGGGGGACCCCCGGTCTCCGGAGGAAGAGGGGGGACATTTCCCACAGTAAAGCGGCGGTGGGTCACGCTCTCTCATATATGGTCGATCCTGGCGCTGGGTAAACCAGGCGCATGCAGCTGACTCGACTCCCCCCTCGTCCGACCCGACGGGGGCTGGCGATGTTGGCCATTTGCGTGTTTGCCAGGTGGCCCGTGGCGGTTCCCCATCCAGGTCATCCCCCCCCCCCGCGCGCGCAAATCGTGGTAGTTCTTCACGTGCTACGCAGTCGGCTCCAACACCGACCGCCCCCCTTGGGATGCAAGTCCTGGGGGGTTAGCTTCAGCATCGGCGCTGATATTTCCGTGGTCGAAACCCAGATTAATTCGGCAGAGTCCTGTTAATTCGGTTTGATTCCGCTTACAGTCGGGGCCCTGAAGAAGGAACCCTTTTCGTTGGGGAGGGGCTCGGTGTTCCTTGATTGTTCTGCAGTTTGCCTTCTGTTTTCCTGAGGTTTTCCATGGGAAGTCGAAGCTCAACTTATGGGAGGAAGGGGCCCCGTTCCTTATTTAGGGTTCCTTAGGTCAACGCCCCGACTGTAATCTGGCTTAGTCACGGACCTAACCCCTAACCTGGCCTTCTCCGGCTTAGTGGCACGTTTATCTGTCCTGATACCCCTTGATCGTTCTCACGCAGGTTTTCCAGGAGGTAGCTGTTCTTTCTGGGGACTGGTCAGACTGGTCAGGACCCCTCGCACCCGGTCTGCTTGCGCGACTGGTGAAAGAAGATCGACTAAGCACCAGCCCAGACCTAGACCCCTCCCGCCCCCCACCCTTCGGCCACGTGTCGAAAGCCAGAATCACAAAACGCTTGCGAGTTGCCTCCTAACCTCCCCTGGAAGGCGACCTGGCAGGAGGTGCTGCGCACACAGCCGGAGAACGTGTACAAGCCGCCCGCCCAGGAGTCGCACGGGGCTGAAGATGGGTCTCCGCCGCGAAGGCCTGAGCGAGAGGCGTTTCTCCTCCAGGCCTCTTTTCGGAAGCGCGGGTCCACTTCGGGGGCCCCCGAACGGTGCGGTGACCACACCGTGGGGCGAGTGAGATGGGACTCGGGGTGACCGCATGGAAGTGGGACTGGGGGCGTTCTCCGAGGGCGTCTCGGGCGGCTGGGGCCCGTAGGATCTCCAACCCGTAGGATCTTTGCGTGAGGTCTCTTGGGATCTCGAGGCGACTGGACGGTCTGTCGCCGCACCGTCTCTGCACCCCCAGCTGCTGCCCGTCTGACGTGCACGCTCTGCCGATCGGCGCCGCCTGTGGAGCTCCAGCGCCTTCTTCTCGAGGTTCCCTCGGGCCCGCGTGCCCTGCCCTGCTCTGGCGGTCCCTGGTGCTCGAGGGGCGTGCGTGTGGTTGTCAGGCCCATTTCAGCCTCGCCTTCTCCTGCGCCTCTCTCTGAACTCCCTTGTGCGCCGCCATATCGGCTCACAACGGCCCTTGAGCTGTCATGGCGCGCCGGTGACGAACGCGCTTCGGCCTCTGTAGAAGGACAGAGAACGTGCTCTCTTCTAGCACGGGTCCCCCTAATTGTACCTCGTGTCTCTCTGCATCCATACAGCTACTCCCGTACAATCCACTGTGGCAGCGGAGCCTGTGGTTGAGATCCACGAAGGGAGTCAGGCCGACTCCCCTGTGAATCGACTCTCGGGTGGCACTTTTGCTGTCTTTACCTTGTTCCCGCTTCCCACCCTCTTGCACCGAGCACCGCCATGGATCCTCCAGACGACGCTCAGTCTCAAGAAGATGAGCTTCCAGTAGATCTTTGGTTGCAACCAGGACAGGACCCTTGGGCAAGAGGCGCAGGACGAGAAGACGTGCTTTGTGGAGGTGATGACGACGTGGGCTGGTCAGATCAAGACAGGGCCCGGTGGTTCTCACAGCCCCTGACGGTGAACAGCCCAACACGCAATTACCTTCATCCGGTTGGAAATGCGCGGGGCTGCGGTTCGCCTGTTGCGCGAGATCGGCAGAACACGCCTCTGCGGACACAGGCTATGCCTTTTACTCCTTTGCTCCGACTTAGTGGGGGGGCCACTGCCAGATCTGCTGATCGCCAGAGGGGGCAGTTTCCTGAACAGTCGGAGGCCCCAAAGATACCCAACGACCTGCCTCCTGCTTGGGATGGAAAAGATCATGATATCCGTTCAGAGTCTTATATGAAGGAGCTGCAGATGTTTCTCGCTAGCACGAGGACCCTGGCAACGCAGCGCGGAAACCTCATCTACCTCTACGCCAAAGAAGACGTACATATCATTGCCAACGAACTCACCGAGGACCAGTTGCCGTCGGAGGACAGCGGGCAGGTTGCGGTCACACATATCACGAAGGCTTTTGCCGAATACCAAGGCCGCAGGGCGCCAGAGGTTTTCGAACAGCTTTTCTTTTCAGGCGACAGCAAGCGCAAGCGAGATGAACCCCTGGTCAACTATCGCGCGCGAGCGCGTGCTTTCCCGAGAACTCGAGGATCACATGACCCAGCCAGAGGACTTAAAGGGCGCGTGCTTCTTAGAGCATCCAAGCTCAGTGAGAGGCTGCTTGGGGTGCGGTTGAGCGCTGGGCGGAGGGATTATGCGATTGTGATCTGGTGCGTGAGGAACTTCGGGAGCTTGAGCGACCACTACCTTCCAGCACAGGCGGCCATTGCGTCCATGGCATGTTCTCCTTCACATTTTGTCGGCGACCGAGGAGACGAAGACGGATGCGAGGATCTGGGGTCTGATCGCAACGGTTCCCATTGGGTAACCATGGAACAGTATTTGTCTACTTTGCCCGAGACCGATGAGGAATTTGAGATCCTGATTGAGGCGCTCAAGTACATCGGCGACGAAAACGTAATCTTCGTAGTCGGGGACATGCCCGAGGATGCGATTCCAGATGAAGACGAGGCTGCCGCCGCCTACGCCAAACGCAGTCAGGTGCGACCGCACTTGCGCAGACGGAAGCTTGGGCGAAACTTCGTTTCAAACAGTCCCCCCAACAGGTAAATCCAAAGCCTCCCGGAATGGAAAACGCCGAGGGCAACGAACTGGACATGTCCGACCGACGCGGTTGACCAAAAGTAAATTGATGAATCGTTCGAAATGTGCCCGACGTGGGGAGATGGGGCCCTGGGCTCGGGACTGCGCGAACGAGCCTGACGAGCGCGGGCGCAAGTGGCGAGCAGGCTACGGCTGCTTCTGTGCAGTTCCCCCTGGAGCAGACGATGCCATGCGCGACGTTTGCCAGCGGGAACTGACGATCCAGTCTGGAGTCAGTTTCTTACCTATCCTATATTTGCTGCTGCTGGTACTGGAGATCCGGTTTATGAGTTTCGGCTTGGTGGGCACTGGAGCTCAGCATGGAGTCCGCGGCAAGGATCAGTTCGGTAAAAAAGGTGATATCTTGGAGATACTCACGGGTTGAAGCCCGCAAATACCCACTCTGGAAATGGACGCCATGGGGGTTGGAGGATCTACAAAGTTTCTCTGCAGTTGGGCCCTGCCTGTTGCAGTGGCTGGGAATTTCGGTGCTCTGACAGTGCGTTTGATGGCTTGTGACGTGCCTTTGCTGCTTCCAGTGGAGATGCTCGGGCTGCTTGGCACGGTTCTTGATTCGCCGGGCGGCGTTATCACTTGGGGGGCGCTCGACGGCAGCCGATCGAGAGAGCGCGAGGCAGGGGCAGGCAATCGCGCGTTGATCCATATTTCTGCTTTTACCGACGAAGGTTCGCAGAGGGGGAAGAGAAGCAGAACAGTCTCTCCGAAGACTCATGGGCGCGACCGGGTCGCCGGGCCCGAGGATGCCGTATTCTGCGTGAATCCGCAGGCGCCCTCGGCTCAAACCCGTCTGTCTCAGCCACCTGTCTCCTCTCCCGACATCTCGCGCGATGTTGGGCCGCGCGGAGCGCATCCTCATCGAGCAGGAGCCGCAGCCGGAACCTCCGTGCGCCTGCAGGTCCAGTCGCCCCACGGTGGCCCCAGAGAAGCGGGCGTGGAAATGGAATCAATTCTCCTGGAACTGTTTCCCATACTGGACCACGTGGCCACGCGGCGCCGCGCGGATGCCCGCGTCGGCGCGAACGCCTGCAAGAAGAGTCTGGACTTAGAGGCGGCATTATCCCCCGCGGCCCGCGACCTTTCCCCCCGAGTCCTGCAGATCTCCAGCGGGGGGCGGTTCGCGGCGGGCAAGAGGCTGGAGCGCGACGGCGCGGGCGCCGTGAAGACCGACCAGGTCGCGCGCGCGCGCGCCTTGACGGCCGCGCGCCATCGGGGCAACTACCAGACCCTCCGGTGGGCGCGCGACGACTGCCAGGTGCGCTGGACGAGGCCCCCGGTCGACAGCTTCGTCAGCGCGGACGTGCCATGCGGTCAGGAACGAGCGACGGCCGGGAGGTGCGCGGGGTTCGCCTTCAAGGAGATCCACGAGAGGGGCTTCCAGCGCTGCGAGCGGCGCATAAAGACTCGCGAGTCGGGGGGTTCAGCGTCGCATCGAGGGCTCAGACGCCTGGCGACGCACGCCGCCGAACGCGAGATGCGCGAGGACATCGCGCATGGGGGCGGCTTCGCCACGGTCGTGGAGGAGACCAGCGTCCGATGGACTCGCTGGCAGAAGGCGCATTCAATGGTCGCAAGACACATGTCCGAGTGCACCGCGGATCCCGCGGCGCCCTCTTTAATCCAACTGACTCCGTCGGTTCACCTTCTGCAAATGATCTCACTGGCGAGCTGATGACGGAGGTTGTCTACTCAGATGACACTGCCGAATTCACTCGGGATGCTTATGAACCATCTTGCGGCCGTACTTTGGCTCGGAGATGGACTGGCCGCGCCCTCTCTTGCCGCGGGGCTGCTGCCGACGCGGCGTTCGCTGCAGCTCTGACGGCAAGCGTTTGTCTTCAGAAGATCTGTCTCGGCCAGGCTGGGCAAATCATGTCCCCAGATGCTGCTGGCGTGAGTCTGGCTGGTCCAGCATGCGGCAAACACACGGCTCCGCCAGGAGGTGCTCCAGGTGGTTCGCGGCATCTTGCCATGTCACTGGGCTTGGTCGAAGCGGCCGAGGCTTGCGAGGGAGAGTGGCGACTGATGTTGCGGCAGACCACCGATGGGGCATACAGTTCGCCTTCGGAGCTCGACGAGGACGGCGTTGGAACCATTCCCTATCGACAGGTTAAGCAGATCAAGCAGGCACTCTCAGTGAACAATGCCAATCTCAGCTTCCTTTTGGAAGCAGCTCCCGAAGAAGATGGGCCCGCAGAGGCCCTTGTCGATGATCCGACGGCCGAACCTGATAGCGATGATGAAGTGCCTGCCCAGCCTGGCTGGGCACCTGCGGCCGACCAGCTGACCGACCTTCAAACCTGGTCATCCTGGGGGTCGAGAATTTTCGCGACTTCTGAGCCGGGGCAATGCTATGCCTGAGGTCGCACGCTGGGCATTGAAAGATCTGTGAGTGCGACGGATGCGACGCGCGCAAACGATCACCTGATTGCCGTCCTGCTCATGTTCCCATCGGTTCCGTCATTTTATTGGCATTGCTTTGGTTGAGGTCAAGTGTCCACTCGGTGATGCTCCGCACTATTGGATCAATAACACATGCTACGGTACGTCTTTCCAGTTGGTTGGACATGTGGGAGCAGGGCAGCCATCAGAAGTTGCATGGCAGGCATTTGCGCGCACATGGGCACGAGAAGCTTGCATGATAAAGGTTATTGCCGTGGATCCTGGAACGGGGTGTCAGGGAACTCTTGCCGAAAACATTCAAAACGACGGCGCGTGCCCATTTCCAACGGACGCCCGCTCTCCAGGCAAAACGGTCGAACGGAACGTGCTGGAAAAAAACTTGCAAGGACAGCTCCGTTTAGCTGTTCATATGGGTAGCTCCGCATATACTAGCCGAGTGGCATGCTACTGGGGAGTTGCGTTGCTTAGTT